GAGTTCTTGAAGCATGAGGATCATGACCCCTTATGGAGTTGCAAAAGGGTCACCCTACTCAACTATTCCAGTGGTTTTCTTGATTGTGTTAAGAGACTGACGTTCACCTCCCAATCAGTGCAAAATATGGGATGTTGTATTCCACATATATTAACATATCTAATTCTCAACATGGCTAAATCTGTAGATACTTAAATCCAGAAAGTGGGGCTGTCAGGGCTCAGGTGGGGTGTTACCTGACGCTGCTACCACTCTAGTTCCAGGCTCCTCTGAGAAGGACCAGAGCACCTTCCCAGGCCTTTAGACCTCCCTTTTGGCCGAATAATAGCTGTGAGGACCAGGCAGAGTGAACAATAAAAATAGTTTCTTTTATAAGAGGTCAAACAAACAAGGTGCAGAAATATAACAGTAAGTGGATGAAAAGTAAAGAAATCAAATGCCCAAACGCGTCTAAATATATACTGTCCCAAGCGCACTATTCCAAGTGACACTAGACTACTCACCCTTCCCTCAGGATGAGGGTCTCTTCCCTGCAGCAGCCTTCCTTCCGGCTCTGCCCTCTGGGAAGAAGAACAAGCGTTCCCTGCTGCACCTGATCTTTTATTCCAAGCCCTCCTCTTTTCCTATTGGTCAATTTTAACTCCAAAACCTCTCAGGGGCTTCTGGGAGTTGTAGGCCCAGCCTCACCTACTGCTAGCCAGGGTCCCTGGGCCTAGTAGGCCTCTGGTGGCACAGCCCAGATCATGACAGGGGCCATGAACAGATACTTCAGATATTTCTACAAACCTAAAAGTCACCCCAGGTTTGCAGAAAAATCTGCTATCTTAGAAAAATACACTGGGGTGTTAATCCCTCGAATACTAGAAGCAGCACCTGTAGATTTAAGAAATGAATCCCTTCAGTGGCCATTGATAGGCAACCATAGCAGTAATGGCAGGCTCCAGTCCATGGTTTCTGTCGGTAAAAGGCAGGGAAAAGGGCAAGCACCTTTCCAGGGCTGTTTTGCCCTTTGAGGGAGATCAAGACCAGGCCCGTCAGTCAGCAACTACTGGGCAACGTGCTACCATGCTACTTATATGACTTACCAGGGGTCGTTTCGTAGAAAAAGAGCTAGGGGAACTCATTAGCATAACTCATTAGCATATGCCACACCCCCTGACATCACCGGAAGTGTGTCATAAGGCCACACACCCCGCCCCCAACTGTCCTGGCCGCCACCACCTGCCTTGCAGCTCCACTGCCGAGCCCCATGAGGGGCCCGGCAGTGGACCTGCAAGGCCGGCGGGAGTGCAAGGAAGCCCCGCGAAGGCCCTCCCTGGCCCCAGGCAGGCAGGGGTGGGGAGAGGCAGGGAGGAAGCAATTTACCCTCCTTCTTCTCCTGCCTCCT